ACGACCCTGTCTTATTCCCGATTTCATTGCAAGAATAGTTACAAGTCATCTCTTTCATGCCTAACAACAAAGCCTCCAGTCCTTCTAAGGATTCTTATGAAATGTTAAAACATCTATCCGGAGACGCTTTGGAATTTTCCCTTCTCCTTGCCAACTCCTATCTTTTGCGTGGTGATATTCCTGCTGATTGGCGTGAAGCTGTTGTTTATTCTATCTCCAAACCTCATGACTTTAATGCTCAACTTAAAAATACTCATCCTATTACACTTTTAGAAACTGTTCGCAAATATATTGTTAAGGTAGTTACTAATCGCCTTTCTCGTTTGCTTGCTGACAACAAAATTCTCTAAGGACATAATTTTGCTGGATTGCCTGGTAGATCTACGGATGTGCCTATCAAAATGTTGGATGCTATTATCCATCAACACAAATACGAATCTTCTGATGACCAAGAACTGTAGATCGTTTCTCAGGATTTTGATTCTATGGATCTTAATATGCTTAAATTAGCTCTAAAGAGATTACAATTTCCTGTGCTTTTAGTGCGCTTTATACTTAATCTATTTACTAGACGAAACAATAAAATTATTACTTGTTATAGTGATACTCCTAGGTATAGAGTACGTGTTGGTATTGACCAAGGAGAAATCATTTCCCCTCTTTTATGGGTGGTCTATTTAGATCCTTTGCTCACCGTGCTAAATCAAGAGGCGTCAGATCCTTTCTTTTTGAAATCTTCTGCTCTTCAGGACGGTTCACCTATGGAATTTGAACAACATTCATTACCAGTGTCACACCTCACATTTATGGATGACTCTACTTTAATAGCGTCTTCAAAATCTGGCATTGAAGACCGATTATCTATTACCGCAGAATTTTATACTCTTAATAATGTTCAAGCCAATTCTGCTAAATATGTTTTACTTTCCTCTTCTAATCCATCTTCTGTGATTTTCTTTGGACTTTCCCCTTCTCCTTTAATTGATGATAATACATTTACTCTCACTTCTTTAACTCTTAATACTTCCTTTCGATTCCTTGAAGTTTGGTTTTCGCTTTCTGCTTCTTCGCAATTTGTGCTTAAACAAGCTCGTTCTATGGTCAAAGATATGGCTGCTCTTCTTGCACCTAAAAAATTATTGGCTCAACATGTTGCTTATTTGTATAATGCTATCCTTCTTCCGCGATTGGAATTTCATTTACAAACTTCTTTATTTTCTGAATCCATCATCCAATCTATTATTTCTCTGATGCTTTCGATTATTAAGAGGAAAGCTGGTTTGGCCTCTACTACTCCTTTGGCACTTTTATATTTGAAAATACCCTTTTCTATTCAACATACCTTTTGTCATTTTTTGTCTTTCCATGTTGCTTCTTGGCAAAAGATTTTTACTCACCCTGATTTTCAGGATTTTGCCAATTATGCCATTTCTTATCTTCAAGGATATATGGGTGTTGAAAGTTGTCCTTCTGCTATCGACCTGATACCCTGGTCCCAGATTCTTTCTCTCCGTTCCCATTCCTTATTTAATTCTTTATTCTTCTTTTCTTGATTGAATATCACGTGGTCTCTCTCCTTCCGACCTCTGAAGCGAGATCTACGTCTGGCTAAACCTCTCCGATCTATTATCCCACAACGTTTATTTCAAACTAGTTGGAGACTGTAGAAGAATCTTAATCTTTTTTATTAGCACAACTCTCATCACCCTGTAGAAAATTTCTTCTACCATGGCCTGATCTTTGATATTTGGGAATTGTGGGAAAAAAAGGACGGATTCCTGCTTGGTTTACATTTTTGTCTGATAATATTTTGTCTTCTTTTAATTTCATTTCTCTTTTTTCTTCTTCATTTATTATTAATCCTTCTTTTGTGATAGTTTTTCCTCTCTTATTAGACAATACAGTTCCTGATGGACAATATCGCCCATTATGGATCCTTTCTTAGGATCGCACTACCCAAACTTTACTTGTTGGTCGTGTATGCATAACGTATTCAAAAAAATGACTAGCTATAATATCTTATTGGCTTCCCACCGCTGGCCCTGATTCTACCTCATTTCGCCCTTGTTCTGGATGTTCCCACCATATTCCTAAATATGCAACACTTTCTGCTATTAAATGACGTTGTACTAGTGAACATTGTTTTCTCCAGATTCAATTGATTGATACTATCGCCTATCCTACCAAGAATGCCAAAGTTTTTGCCACAGGATGACCTATTAAATTGTTAACTTCCTTAGCTTATACTTCTTTTTTAGCCATGGTTTATTTTAATTCTCCTTCAAGTAGCAACATTACTCCCCCATCTTTGGATGACATAGATGATATCCCAATTGTCCTTCCTTGTTCAACATGCAATTTATATACCGATGGATCCTTTCTTGATTCGATTTCTGGAAAATCTCCCTTTATGTCCTCTGCTTGGCTCGCCCTCGATGATGATAATCTTATTTTAGAATCTTCTTCAGATGTTATTCCATCAACTTACCCTTCTGCCCTACGTTCTGAAACATTTACCCTCCAGTCAGCGCTTAAGACCCTATCTCCTCTGTTGTTAACATTGATTGTGCTTCCTTGATTTCAATTTGGAATCAATTTGTTGAGACATCTTTCTTGCCTAAGCTTTTGCGTCAACCTAACCATTTACTTTGGCTTTCTATTAGACACCAAATTCATAACAAACATTTGTCAATTACTCTCCAGAAAGTCTCCGCACATACTGATGATATGTACAATATACAAGTGGACTTTTTGGCCAAAGAAGCTTTTCACTCACCTCAACTGACAATGACTCCAATGGCCCTGTTAAATGCTCTATGTATCATTTTATATGACTCTCTTCTGGTTAATGAAAATATTTGCCACTTTTTTGCTCCATGTATCATTTTATATGACTCTTTTCCGGTTGATGAAAATATTCGCCACTTTTTTAAATCTATTTATGAGGCCAGGAATTTTTTAAATTTCTGTTCCCTTTCTTGCTTCTCTCATCTTGCTCCAGTCAAATATTTTGACTGGGAGGGTATTCTCTTTTGGTTATCTCATTCAAAAGTTTTTACTACACATCACAATGGACAAAAAGGACTTCTTGCGTTCTGACTTAAAATTTTATTGGATATGTTACCTACTTTAACTGCCCTTCAGAAACGCAAACCTTCCCTTTATCCTTCCGATTGGTTATATTCTCTTCGCCATTCAGCTCCTGAAGACATAAATCATCTTTGGACTTGTCCCTACATTATTCCTGATACCAGCTCTAGATCGATTTATTACAAACTTATACTTTCTTTTCATAATGCTTGTATTACTAGTTTCTCTGAACTTGCTTCTCTTTCAGATCATTTTCTACTGGAATTTTCCACTCTTGACTGTTGGGATTTTTCTACACCTTCGCCGTCTTGTCTTTGGCTAACACACGGACTTTTTCCTGTTGATTTAGTGCAATATCTTTGTAAACATTTTCCTAAAAAGAAAATTTTTGAAGTTTTAACTTCACATTTATCTAATCTTCACGAACAATTATATTGGGATATTTGGATGCCTCGTAATGTATTCTTTCATCTATGGCTGAATTCACAAAATTCTGATTTCGCAAATTATCACTCTTCTTCTTCCTCTCTTTCTCCTTCATCTCCTCTTACCACTTTTAGCTCTTCTTTGGCGACAGTCTCTCAGGATTCCTGGTTTTCCTGGATATCCTCTTCAATAATTCGAGGTGGATCTTAGATTTCGCACTTGGATTTTCTGCGCCGCTTAACAGTTCAACCCCTTAGGATTTCTCTCTAGTAATGGACTGGATTTTAAGATGTTGGATAGTTAACTCATACTGGTTTTCGAGTAAAGTTGAAATATGCGATTCTGTAATAGTTTAGTTTTCCTTCTTTAACTTTATTTTAGTTTAGATTTCTTTACTTGTATGAGTCGTGAAGCTACTCTTTTTATTTTTTATTATTTTTATTTTCTTATTTTTGTAATATTGTTCGATCCTTTTGTAAATTTTCGATTTTAAAATATAAATAAAAGATAAAGTCATAGGACTGCTTGCATAGTAGAATGATGCACCATAGCTCGTTGGAATCATCTCATAATGACAAGTTGAATGGTGGTTAAATCATCTTTTTACGATCACTGGATGCTGAAATAATAGGTGAAACGTCAAATGGCGCAATATCACAAAATATAAAATGCTGATTTTTAACGTTTCGTTAAATATCTCAGCATCCAGTAATCGTAGAAAGACGTCTAACCACCATTCGACTTATCATTATGAGATGATTCCAACGAGCTATGGTGCTATGATGCATCTTTCTATGATCATTGGATGCTGAGTTATTATATGAAACATCAAATGGCGCAATATCGCAAAATACAAAATGCCGATTTTTGACGTTTTGCACAATATCTCGGCATCCAGTAATCATAGTAAAATGATCTAACCACCATTCGACTCGTTATTATGAGATGATTCCAATGAGCTATAGTGCATCTTTCTACGATCATTGAATGCCAAATTATTAAGTGAAATGTCAAACGGTGCAGTATCGTAAAATACAAAATGCTGATTTTTGACGTTTTGCTTAATATCTTGGCATCTAGTGATTGTAAAAAGATAATTTAGGTGTATTCCCAGCTTCAGATAAGCCTTAAATGTGGCCCGATGGAAGATATCCTCATATATGGTGCTGTTTGTTTGAGGAAAAATAAGTACTCAGTGATATGGTTACCCCTTGGGAATGATAGAATACTTGTCTGATGATGCTTCATAAGAAGTAGAGGGAGACTTGGCCGTAAAAACTTTAGCAAAGTAAAAAGATAATTTAACCACCATTCGACTTGTCATTATGAGACAATTCCAACGAGCTATGGTACATCTTTCTACAATCATTAGATGCCAAGTTATTATGTGAAACGTAATATTTTTAGGTTTTGACAATTTCGACATGTCGAAACTATTTTGGCATTTTGGCATTTTAACAGGTTTTAGTTTCAATATTTCGACAATGGCCTGTAGAGTTTCGGCAGGCAACTTTATTCACAAAACAGAAAAGTATGTTGGAAGCATAAGAAGGAGGTAATACAAAAGCCACCTAAGATTCCATTAGATAAAACAATTTTTAAAGAGAAATCTCACAAGCTAACGAAACAGATTTTTTCAGCTCAGAAAGGTATTAGTTATACGAAATAACTAGCCTTTGAAGGTAGAAAGTCTTATGAACGACCTAGTGCTAAGTGTAAGTAATTGGTTAATTACTGCGTGATTTATAGAGATTATAAAGAAACAGAATTGACCTCTGAGACTAAAAAAATGGAGTTATTCACTAAATGCAGAATTAGAGGCCTGAAAAATAACATGGAAAAGTAGATGTTTCTTAATAATGGTGAAGTAATTACTAATTCTAGACCATCACATCATGAGTAATCTTGCACTTTTATATAGTGAAGTGAATAGTCATTGTGCATATAATGAGTTGACAGAAGATATCTTTCTCAATCATACTTTTGATGAAGATGACTTCGCTATAATACAAGCGTTTAAAGAAGATACACTGCCAAAAAAAGGGTTGCAACAAAGGAAGATTATGATATGATGTATCATATATTTATTAATTGTAAATTAACGTTTACAGAAGCTGCAGATTATAGATATAAATGCAGCAGAGATGATATCGAATACGACATGAATTTAATAGATCAGTGGTATAACGAATCATTATACATTGGAAAAGCTTAGTAAAGAAGTAAAACATCAATCTAAAGTTCTAAACATGATAATCGTAATAACCGTTTCTAGTTAGTTAGAATTAGTTATTAAGAGCATGCTCTTAAAGGGTGTTTTGTGCAATATTTTACTTTTTCTTTTTATCTTTTAGATAGAACTAACCTTATATTTTTCCCTTGTATCATTCTACACCTGACAGTATTTACGTGTAACTAACATTAATTAGAAAGAAAAATACAGTTTATATGGGGAGATCATTGGTCAAATTTTTAGATTTATCATGATGAGTCACCTTTAATCTCAAGGTGACAGGACGGTCTTTTCCTTCGGAAGGGGCAGTATATTGATAATGTTTAAAATCAATTATTTAGAATACTTTATTTTATTTTACTTTTGTAAATATATTGTATTACTTTAACATAATTATCAATAAACATGATCGCACCTTTACAAAGAGAAAAAAAAAANAAAAAAAAAAAAAAAAAAAAAAAAAAAAAATATTGGTTAAAGAAACCCATTTTTTTAAATTTATTGGGTGGTCCTAAACTTTTGGTGTGGGAGTGTACGCATGAAATATATTTTTTTAAACTTGTTATATGTCAATAATTACCATTTACCATCCAGGGAATTCGGAAAGGTGTGATGCCTAACTGATCTCTATTTGTCACCTATATAATATGTCACCTGTGTTACCATAATGTATATTTTATAAAAAATCATGGGCCTAAAAATGTGACTGAAACTTTATTAATGCATTATTTCATTAGATACAAATTTTTTGCTTTCTCATTATTTACATTAATGCTAAATTATTCATCCTCAATATCACTACAATCCCAATCTTTAATCCACTCTTGGTAATATGCTTGCATTCTCCATGTCAATAATTACTCTTGGTATCGCTGATTTACTTTTTGATCCAAGTGTTTTCTGGTATTGACTTTTTCTCTTAGGAATTACAAGAATAAATAACAATCATCTTTATATTACGATCAATCCAGTTCTGCTCTTTGTAGATTTTATGTAACTCAGAATTAGCTCCAGGAGGATTAGAATTATAATTCTTATCTGTAAACATCTGATCTGGTTCAACAGTTTTAAATGATTGTTTTAATACGTAAGTTTTTCTTAACTTGGCCTGAACGTTAAGAATATAGGATTTCCGGTCTTCCTCATTATAATCTTCTTCATCCAACAGCATATCATCTAACGGCATATCATCTCTTTCATCCAACGACATGTCATCTAGTGTTGGTCTCCGTAAATAGTTGTAAGTCCAAAAGTATAATGGTTGTAAATCAAAATTACCATCTTTTAGCTAACCACAATAGCGTAGTATTTACAGCCAATTTACAACTTACGTTTATAATATTACAACCACTAAAGGTTGTAATTCGATATATAATAATCGTTACTTACAGCAACCAACCTTAATGTCATCATCTTCATACAACGGCACTTCATCTGCTATCGGAAAGTGAAATGCAACCAAAATATCGGGTCCCGCCGTATTTGGTGGGATACATATTGGGCAAAAATTTTCAGGAACTTTCACGGTTTTCTCCCATTTCGAGTTTCTACAGCTGTCCGGCCCATACATTTAACACCATTTGGTAACAGCCAAGGTGGTCTATTAAAATCGTCAGGAAGGTACCCGAATTTATTAATTCTCTCCTTATCTCCTATTTTCACTTTTACATCAAACATTTTACTTTCAGATAAAGACTTATTGCTTTCAAAGAGACACTTGCGCAAAAAATTTACAACACACTAAATTGAATTGTGACATCATCTGGAACCAAATGTCATTCGAACGGCTTTCAAAGTAGCTTAAATTACAAGAGGCTCGTCAATGATGCTTGAAAATTGTTGAATGTTTTTGATGTGGGCGAAACCCAAATTCATAATATCCATCTCAACTGTACTGGTAAACGTTATTGGTCTTCCTGTCATAGAATATAAAATAATGGCTCTTTTTATTAATTCCAATGTGGAAACATTTTTAACATAAGGAGGTCGCTCGGAAGGATGTTTTTGCTAATTTTCAAACCCCGTGTAAATATTTCTTGGTAAACTATCAGCACTGGTTGTAATTTAGTAATGAGCTCTTTTAGCTGTTTTTCAGGATCGAAATTCTCAGACTTAATGAGAAAATGTATCCATGTCCACGACCAACGATAGCGACCCTGTTAAGAAACTAATTGTAAGAACTGAAAAGGATTAATTCAGCAAATCGTCATGAGACATTACCTTTAACCATTTAATCGCACGTAATGCAGTACTTCTAGTCGGTAGATACCTCGATAAACCGAAGTGCGTACGTGATTTTTTCGAAGAGGAGGAGACGTAAAGCATGTTTTTCTTCTAGAGGAAATATTCTCGTCACCAGTTCGAGTAATTTATCAGAGATATCAATTCAACCAAAATGATTAAAGGTTGGAACACTATAGATAATAGAAAAATCAATTAAGTTATTCCAAGTCACTGGGACGGCAGAATTAACTTACTGTGATTCCTCCAGATATTTTATCTTTTGCTCGCAATAATGATAGGCCAGATCCAGTTATGCAAACGAATGCTCCTGCAAATGAATTACTTAAATTTGATAAACACCGAACCACTACGGAGAAAAACGGTCTTGACCTATCTTTATAATAATGTACAGAGGGGAATGTTTGTGGTAAGTAAGTGGTGTGAAATTGAGCCTCATCATATACAATTGGAAAGAACTTCGTAAATTCGTTTCTAATATCCATCAAAATAGTTTCACAAGACCTTCCCCATCTCGAAATATTAAATATAGCTCTCTAATGATGAAGTGACTGAGCTGAAGGATTAGCCAAGATTTAGGCACCATTATAGTGTTATGTTGTCCAGCTACCTTAAAGAGATGTTTAAGCAAGAGCAGGCGTCCAACAATGCAACTCATTACTGCCCGCTCCGCAATGCTTTCTGCTTCTTTGGGAAGTCAACAGAGCCAACACTATATGGTGAAGCAACTAAGTATAGGCCATAATTCTGGCTTAAAGCTTCAAAACATAAGCGAGTTTTGCCACAACCAGTGGTTCCCAGAATAACAGTTTTGTTACTGTTTTCTAGATTTTCATTTCCTTTTTCATTCTGATCAGGAAGATTATACATAAACAAATTAGGTTCTTTGTTGACAACCGGAATCTTTTCATCAATGAATTTTTTGTAACAATTTTTTCTAGTGCCTCAAAATATGAATACGGTTCGTACGCGTTTTTTGCAACGTTTTCTAGGTCCTGAGAATATAAATCAAAATAGTCTTTCAGCTTCGCTTATTGCATCAGCAGTTGATTTTAATGAAAGTCCTGCATAATAGAAATAAATGAGTAAATTTGGATATTCGATATTATTTGAAATGATTCTTGTTCGAGAGGTAAACCATCGGGAAACACTTACCAGTGGAGCCAGTGGAGCCAGTGGAGGTAAGGACTATAAAGATATGAAGGCACTCGATCTTAGGTTTTTTGTCTTTGTCATTATAATATTCATTGGAATTCAACTTAAGTTCCATCTTCTTACTCTTTTCATGATTTATAATATCTTCGGTAAAAAAGTTCATTAACTTCATAAGACTCGAGTTCGACTTTCAAATATTCATTTTGGTTATTTTAGCTTCTTTAATTTCTTTTTGGTCAAAAAGAGTGTTTTTAAAGTTTGCAACGGTCATATTATTAAGATTGGCCCTGATATTTTCATTGTTGGTGAAATATTCGCCAATAAGCACATTGAAAATATCATCCGGAGATTGTTCTGAAATCAAACAATTAAGTGAAAGTTGCATGTCGATTCTGTAAAAGCGAGAAAAAGTTTCAGAGAAGTCTAAGGAAATTAGACGTAATAGACAAAAAAGTAAATTTATCAGTAAAAAATGATTAATACGGTTTAAAGGCGAATTAATGTTACATAATTTTTCGGGAATGATCTTTACCACACCACCTCGGGAAGGTGTGATGCCTAACCGTCACCGTACACGTGACTGCTGCGTTCGCGTTGTTTATATTTATTTCAGCTAGGTCATTTTTATATTATATTAAATTCAGGGGGGGTGAGAAATAAATTTTTTCTATTTTATAAAATTATAATATAAATAATGTATAAAGTTTAAAACATAGTCGGATATGACCTCAACTATAATTATCCGGTGTCCTGGTGTTCCCATGCTTCAAAGTTTCTGCTTCAATATTTTTAATTTGGCTTCTGCAATTATTAATAGAATAATGTAGTCATATGATCACGCTCTAAGACTGCGATTAGGTTTGTTGCAAAGATAATACGACCATCATCGAATATTTGAATATCCCTGATTGTCTTTTTCAATTGTATATTATATCCCTGTTTATAAATTATCATTATATTGCTAACCTTTAGTTGATCTGATTGGTCAATTAACATTGAGGTAAATAAGATATACCAAACTATCAGAATAATGTAGGCTTAAGCGAAAACGCATGATCACACATTTTTTACACGTAATTTAGTATAAATGCTTTATTTTATAACCGTATGCATACATTTGGAAATTTACATTAAACTATAATACAGATCAATTAACAATTTTTAATAAAATGTATAATTTTTTAAAAGATAAAATAAATAGAAAAGAAATCATCTTAAACTCGCAATTCGCACTTAGTTGATAGCCTGATAACCGACATTAACATTTCGTCTATTCTCACGATATCGGTAATAGATATGAAACAAAATAGCACTAATAATAATACCTAGTATAAATCCGAATCCGATTGATCCAGCAATTATGGGAAATTCTGTTTGATTTTCTAACAAATGAATATCCAATTGAGCAAGAGTCATATCGCAAACGAAACTATTATCTAGACCTACGCCTATAATGAAATCGATATGCTCATTTGCTCTTATAGGAATCCCACTATCAATTGTTTTGAACGATTTTGAATCATTGGGACCGTTTAGGTCTATTTCCCAAAGCGTTACGTTATTATATATTATATAAACTCCAGAATGTTGTGCACAATTTTCAATATGTGTAAAAATTACGTCTAGGACATAATTTCCATCCTTTGGTGCAGCGAATCTCACCACAGAGAAACTACCATTGTAGTCTGGATGCATGGCCACACCGTTAGCAATAAATTCTGTATCAGAGCCTAAGGAAACATTTGTTGGTTTTGTGTTATAATAAACACCTAGAGCGTGAGGTCCCCAACTGGAATCCTTCCCAAACCAGGCGACTACTTCATGTTTATATGGATCCAGATCTAAGTGTGTAAATAAGCTGAACATTCCGGTTACGTGATAGCCAGCAGGCTTTGAGCCGTAAGACCACACTGAAGAAGGATTATGGTTAAAAGAAAAGTCAGAACTTAATGACCATTTTGGCATTTTTTTTTTAATGGTTATGTATTTTTTTATTTTATTGATACGAACTACGAAGTGTTTTTTACAGCTTCAGCGTGATACTATTACGCAATAATTATACACAGTTTTATACAATGAAAAATGATCTACATGTGACATTTCCGATGACTGTTACTGTATATGCAAATTTTTGCACCCCTAGTGTAATGGTCTAAGGACTCTAAGGTGTCTACACTTCCTATTGATCTGACGACGCAGGTTTGATCCATATATTACTGCGTGTGCAGCCACCAACTGCGTTGAAGATCCCATACCTATAAGGGAAGCTGGAAAGATGCTTACCGATGGTGAGGTGATATATGAGATCATTGGTAGGTATGGCGAATCATCTAATCTGGTGGTTTGGTGTAAGGGGTGCTGTTGCAAAATACTTCAAATATGGGTCCTATAGCATCTTGGTACCTAGGTAGCCCTTGGGGGTTATAATGATATCAGCAGGGTATTAACTACCATAAGATGGTCTACCAATTTGACAGACCCTTGAATACATTGCAGTTGACTCTAACCTTGTAGATTGTAGTAGCATTTGAGAAAGGTTAGAAGATAGGTTTGGGGTTTCTGGCACATTGTTGAGGAATGCTAAACATTTTATCATAAATCTTTTTTTCATTCATCTTAATTTTATGAATATAGAAATTAATGGAAGGAAGACATAGTACTATAGGATGTCTATTGAATTTCATGTCCTTTGTTTTATGAAAACAAACAGTTTTCATTAAGTTTCTAAAATTATTAAGATAACTATTATTATTATTTTTAAATTTCATTGTTTTGTTGTTAAATATAATATTCCACATTTCAAAACTATCAAAAGGTGTGAATCTTAAAAATTTAATTAAAGAATACTTAATTGCCAATCCGCCACTCAACGATACAAAATTGATTAGTAGATCTGTCACAAGTTCTTATATGAATAACGTCAATCAGCATATTTCAACTCCGATTTTGTCCTACATAAGTCATGCTTAATGTAACCATACTTTACCAATCAATAATGCAAAACGTAAATATGTCACAAAAAAAAATTTTTTTTTGTTTGCTATAAAATTTAAAGAGTTTACTTTGGAGGAAGTCACCATTCCAGCTCATATTTTAGGTAATTTTACACTAATTATTCATGAATTATGCAAATTTTACAAGGTTTTTTTGTACTATTATATAATATATGGTATATTCTTGCTATACATGCTGCTCAAATTATTTTGGGATGCCATAATTATAATTTGGGATGCCATAATTCATTCGGTTTATATATAATTTACTATGTAAAGTGCCAAAATAATTTGGGATGCCATAATTGAATTTGGATTTTACTTATAATTACGGCAATCCAAAATAATTTGGGTGGCATGTATAATTCTTGCTTAGATTAACTAAAAAGAAAAGAAATTAAAAAATTTTTTTTTTTTTTTTGGCAATGTTTTAGTATTACCAGTTTTATAAAACTATACCTAAGTAATGTAACACCTTTTTTAATGTATTTTTAGGGCATTTATATTACAATAAAACATTTTCAAACTTGTGCAAATACCATTTAAAAGCAATAGTATTTAATATAAAAATGTCTGACAAGATTAATTATAGATTGCTGATCATTTTATATCGCTAAGTGGCGAATCAGCAATTAACTTATTATTGAGTGATTTAATTTCTGAATTTAACTTAATTTTGAATATTAAATTTTATGATTATATTTACCTTTTACTCCTTTTGGAGGCATTTTTTGGAAAGGTTAATTTTGTTATTGGCAAATACCCTCTGAAAGGCTATAGGAGTTTATTTTGCAAATATGTTTTTTTTTACTTTCTCACATGGTATAAAGGGTTTTTTGAGTATGAAAATATACTTTATCATAATAAATTGGGCAATTTGGTGAAATTGGCATTTTTCTGAGAGATTTTTATGTGGTATTTTAGAATGATATTAGATGATTTAGACAGTTTTTTGGTATAGGTTAATAGTATATAAATGGAATACTGTAAATATATAATAATATAAAATAAGTAAGTAGGAAAAAATATATAAATATATAATGATATAAAATAAGTATTTTACCTATTGAGCCAAAACTGGTATTTTTATACTACTTAAATATTTAACTGAAAAAAGAATGTTTAATCAAGATAATTAGAAGATATAACATTATAATTGTATAATAATTATTTATAGTAATATTTATTTATAATTTAATTATTTATAATTATTTATATTAATATTATTAGATTAATTATTATTAATTTAATTATAAATAGATTATCATTGTATCAATAAAATAATATAATACCAAGAGAAGTTTTGGCCTTAGTTAAATTTTACCAATTTTCGTATTGGAATTAAGAATATTAATGGAGATTTAGGAAAAGAAAAAGAAAAATTAATAATTATATTAGTTGTTAATAGAAAGTTATCAATATAGTTTTATATTGAAAAATATTTGAAAATTAATAAAATTTAATATTTGAAATAAAGAAATGAAATAAAATAATGTTATAAAATATTAATGAATAAAATATATAAAGAGAAATTATCACAGTTTGAAATTTTGAATTATAAAAAATAAAATCTAAACCAAGTGTAATGAGTAAATAAAGTTGTATTTATTAGTATGTGGCAGATGCTAGTAACACTGTGTTTTTAACTATTTTTCTTAATTTTGCCTGACCATTACAAAGTTGATTGTTAGTTTTATATTTACAAATTAATGACTGAGCAGCAAGAAAAATTTAATATTTAAAGAATTATTTATTAATAATAATAAATAAATAAATTGGTAAATAATCAAACAATTGCAAACTTACATATATGTTTTAGTTCTTTTATTATTTTTCTTATGATATTGATTTAATTTAATAAAAACCTTAAATTCCATATTAACTTCATTATATTACTCTTTAAAAAAGTCAGCATCAGCAAAAGAACAATTCTTGATTTCTTAGTACTTTCATATATTTTTTTTTACAGATATTTCAAAAAAAAGGATAATCTTTAATTGTAATAGATTCTTCTAACCCATAAATAGAATTATTAGAATATAAAACTAATTGTATATTAAAATAAATAAGATTTTTAATACTTAAAAGTTATTTATTTAAAATAATTACAAATATTTATATTATTAAAATATGCCATCAGGTTTAACCAACCTAAAACATTGAAAATTATAGCTACTTTTTGTAGTGAAATTTTTGGATATTCAATAGGAAAGGCTAAATAAATAATGGCATTTTTATTAAACATCTGTTAGTTTTAGAAATTATTTAAATTTATCAAAAAAATGTGATAACAATAAAAATACCTGGTCATTTACTAATAATTTTAGAAATTCATTTTCAAATATTATTTTATCATCAAATATTGTTTTAATATCTGAAAGAATAAGTAGGTTGACTTTAGACATAATCAAAAAATAGTAAAGAAAAAGAAAAAATATGTTTATGTATAGTTCAAATGCTAAAAAAAAGAAAAGTAAATAATATATGTTTACATGTTTGCATTTCTTTAATTTATATTTAGAAATATATTAAATAGCTGATAGATAAAAAAAAAAATATTTTTGCATGTTGAATATAATATAAATATTAAAATTAGTCAATATAAATTATTTATTAATTTCCAAATAAATCTTTATTATAAAAAAAATTAATAATATATATATTTGGATTGATAAATAAGAACTAATAAAATTTATCTTCTTAATTATATATGCATTTATATTCAAACCATACTGCATACTGATCTGTTTCTGATTCCTCATCAAATATCGCTTTAAAATCAATATTTGAATTCTCATAATTTACAGATTCATCAGGTTGTTGATTCAAAATATCTGAATTTGAATTATCCCCATTTAGTTTATTAAATTTATCTAATTTTATAATATTTTCCATAATCAAATCATTATTTTCATTTAAATTAATATTTTCATCATCTAAAACAGTATCATCATCATTATCATCAATAAAAAAATCATTGTTATTAACTATAGTCGCAGTAATTTCTTGTTTGTAATGCAGTTTCAAGTTCATTTTTACTTAAATTACTACTAGAAAATTTTAACTCTGTTTTTGCATTTGTGATATATAGTGTTTCGATCCGGATAAAACCTCAAATATTTTAACGTGGGATTATGATTAAAAAAGGATACAAATTTCGGCTTTGAGTGGACTATAATTTCAGCCAGAATTAAAATAATATTATTCCATAAATTTTTATTAATTTTGGTGGCCCCGGCCTAAATTAACCGAGCCGGTATCCAGATAAAAACCGGATAAAACCGCTACGGATCGAAACTCTAGTGATATAGTATAAATGCATCTGGACCATAAATTGAAGTCGATCAATATCTAATCTAAAAAAGATAAAATTATTAATATTATTAATTATATTATTATTATTATTAAAAATTATATAACACCTTATTCTCCGCTTTCCTATATGCTATCATCCAATTTAATACTGAAAAGGCTTGTTTACATGCAGCTTGATAAGAAGTAATAGCAAATAACTTTAAAGCTAATTTTTGAATATAATTATTTGGCTGTTGACATGTTGACTACCAAAGTTCAGGTGTATAATAATTATTAGTACCGTATAGCACTGCCTAAAATACCCTGGGTCTATATCAATTTCAGCAATTTAAAAATTAAATTATACCCATAGGTATTTTATGAGGTGTAGGGGGGATATTGTATTACTATACACAGCCGATCTCAAGATCCATCTTTTTAAATATTTTTTTAGATTAATTTTACACTCGTTCTCATATTAATTATGTAAATTTAAATTTGTCAACATTATATTTTATGATGAAATTCACCAAAACTGAATATTGCATTTAAACTTTCTTTTATTACACTAATGAATTTATAAATTACTGTAAAGAGAAATATGCAAACTTTTATCATTTTTTAAATTAATTTTACATTCATCCTCATGCTAATTTAATTTTGCAATTCCATATTTCATGATGAAATCATTTAAATTTTCCTTTTTATTATAATATCGCATTCATTAATAACTGATTTGGAAATATTAAGAGACATAAATACTTTTATTAGCTATTCATATTGAATAAAATAATGTAAAATTACACAGACGCGCTTAAATTTTTTAACACTTTATTATCGTGTTTTACTTTTTAACAATTTTCTTACTATAAAAAATTTTGAAATTTCTTTTAAATATTGTACTAAACTTATATTTCTAAAAAGATGGTCTATGAAAACTTTAAAGCTTATCATGCCCTATAAAAAATATGTATACGGTTTTTATACTGTATATACGTATTTTTGATACAGTTTGCATTTTTACATACGGCATATCAGTATAATGTATACTGTTCGCAAAATGTGCTTAGTAAAAAATACAATAAAGTATACGGTAAACATACTGTGTGATACGGTATATTAAATTCATACGTCTATAACGTATATCATTTCTACTGTATATCAGTATTTTGTATACGGTTCACAAAAATATTGTAAATAAAG